CACAGGCGATGGAAATTCTAAGCATATTAGCTACTAGACACTACTAACTGTTTTTAAACTTTGAGCTTCTTCCTAGAAGTAAGATTGAGCCAGCTTTCGAAAAATATCAAACAATTGAACAAGCCGGCTTTCGAAAGGAATACTGTACCATCAATCATATTATCGTTGTTGAGCAGGTAATAGAAAAATATACTGAATTTAGAAAATCAATATTTTTAGTTGAAACATAAATAGTTTTTATCGACTTTGCTAAAGCTTTCGACTGTATCTCTCGCAACAGCATTTGGAAAGCTCTGAAAATTCCCCACTAAAATATTCCCCAACAACACATAAACATCCCAAAAACATCTACCGTGAGAGAACTATTACAGTCAAATTAGACCGAACATGCCCCGTCTTCCCAATAAAACCCAGGGAGACCCACTTTTGGCAAAAATCTTTATAACCTTTCTCTCTACAATCGTGTGCATTATTATCTCTCAAAGCATCTAAGATAGGTAGTATTAGAAGAAAGAAACTCCGCAAAACTTAATTAATTTCGTTGTACTTGTTGTAGATTTTTGACTCATTTACTTATACGTATCAATTCATTCTGAGTTCCCAGGGCTTTTCTAGGTTTTGATCTAATCGAAGATAGACTGGTTATCTATGGGTTACAGTACCATCAGGGGGTACCTATGCTTGCCTGTCAGATTGTTACATTTAGTTGTGGCACGAATGGGTCAACTCGACCGGGGAAGAACCACGCTATCACAGAATACCAGCGTAAAATCATCATCATCATCATCATCATCACAGCCCTTCACAAGTCCACTGCTGAACATAGGCCTCCCCCAAGTAATGCCACAAAGCACGGTCCTGAGCCACCTGCATCCATCGACTTCCTGCATATCTTACCAGGTCGTCACTCCATCTAGTGGGGGGTCGCCCTACACTACGCCTACCGGTACGAGGCTGCCACTCGAGAACCTTTCTTCCCCATCGGTTATCGGTTCTTCGAGCTATATGGCCGGCCCATTGCCACTTCAGCTTACTAATCCGTTGGGCTATGTCGGTCAATCTGGTTTTACTGCGGATATCCTCATTTCTGAGTCTATCACGCAGAAAAACTCCGAGCATAGCCCTCTCCATAGCTCGCTGAGCGACCTTGAGCGTCCTCATACGGCCAGCAGTGAAGGACCACGTCCACCAGCGTAAAATAGTAGCCTGATAGTGTTGTGTTCCGTATGGTGAGTGTAGAGAACCGGAGACCCTTTTTACTGGAAACATTCCATCTTAGCCCTCACGGGTAACAACGCATGTACATTTTGATTCGTAAGCGAGAATGGATGTAGATGTCTGTGAGCCACAGCAACCACTTACCATCAGCTAGACTGTGTGCTCGTTTGTCACCCAATTCTTTATTTTAGCTGCAACAATCATAGTACAGCTGCAGCGTGGCTCCACCATGAAAACATTTTAAACGAATTTTTTATCTGATTAGCTTGAGGTTAGTGAAAATATGATCAATCTGAGTGTTATTGTTACAAATTGACTGAGCAGACAGAACGTCATTTCGATTACAAGTTACGGTTGCGTTAGCATCGTAACCTTCGACCTTTGCTTTGGATTCTTGAATAGGTTAACGCGAAGTGATTGTATTAGAGCATCATTATAGATTATTCGTTATCCACTTATGTTGTTTGTTCTAAAAAGGTATTTTATACAGAATTTTCTATTCTATTTTTAACACTATGTTAGACGAATTATAAGTTAAGTCGGTTTGATCGGGGAAGGACTGAGCTCTCACACGATACCAGGTTAATGCTGCTGTATTTTTTATGGTGAATGTAGAATCGGAGATGCTTTTTAATGGGAAATTTACATTCAATCTTAGTCCTCAGTGATGACAACGAATACACATCATGATTCTTTATGGATGATAGATGTGGATGTCTTTGAGTCAAAGCAAAGCATCCACTTACCATTAGGTGGAGTGTGAGTGTATTTCGTCATCCTTAATTTTTGAAAAAAAAAATGTAACTATAGAAAGTATTTATTTATTTTGTATTTAATATATATATATATATATTTCATATATATATGCTTTTCATAATAACGGTTGCAGCTCTAATAATGATTGCTAATAAAGGTTCTCTGGAACAATAACCTCGTACTAGCAAATGTAGTATTGAACGACTCCCATCAGAGAGAGGGATAACCTTATGAGCCGATGGATTATGGTGTTTCATTACCGTGCTTTGTAACAATCTATGCAGGAGACCTATGTTGAGCTGTGGAGTTGTGATGGACTGTAACGATGATGAAGAAATGATGAATAAAGATGAAAAATATTTAAATAATACTAGTTTTTACGGATTTCATCGAGTATTTTAACTATGACATCTGAACGTTGAACTTTTTAGTCCCCTCCCATAACCATGGGTGCTGTAAAGTACTCGAAACGTCGGGAATATAAAAAAGTTAACATACGCGATTAAATCCGTATAAAGTAGTATCTATTATTTAAATTTGTAGTGTTCGCGTAAATATAAGAAATCAAGATGAAAAATAACATAAGCTTGGCTAATTCAGGAAAAAACTTAAACTTTAGAATGATTTTTTTCGCATGATCGCGGAAAAGTTTTTGGCCAAAAACTAAAAGGTTTTTTGTGCGTTCACGGACTTGGAAAGGCCTATGACAGAGTGGATACGGATGTGCTATGGCAAACACTGAATTCATTTGGGTTGAACGCTGGCTTGATACAGGCATTGGAGTCGCTTTATAGGGACTCTAGTGCTTGTGTTAGGATCAACGGGGTCTACTCGGACTGGTTTGGCATCCATAAAGGTGTCAGACAGAGCTGTGTGGCTTCCCCATGGCTGTTCAACCTATTTATGGACAGTTGTTTGCAAAATTTGAAAGTTGAAGAATGCGGATTAAGAATGGGTGAGTTAACCGTCAAATGCCTTTTGTACGCCGATGATCAAGTTATTCTTGCGTCGTCGGCGGCCGAGCTGCAAATGATGGTTACATTAATGAACAGATCATTAAAAGAAAGGACGTATGAAAGTGAACGCAAGTAAGACGAAAGTTATGGTTTTTGAAAGAGAAGAAAGTAAGACGATATGTGAAATAATAATAGAAGGGGAGTTGATCGAGCAAGTAGATGAGTTTGTATATCTGGGTTGCGTATTTAGCAGGGATGGGAGATGTGATAAGGATATAGCGTCGTTCTATATCCTATGCTATATCCTATTCTATATATAATGCAGGAAATAGAATAAATGGGGCCCTACACTCTATTGTGAAGAGTCAAAATGTGTCGATAAAGGCACGTATGGCAATTAACAATGCTGTGTTGGTCCCAACTTTAACATATGGTAGTGAAAGTTGGGTGTGGCAGAAGAAGCACGAGAGTAGAATGAACGCAGTAGAAATGCGGTCGTTAAGGAGTATGTTAGGGCTGAATCTGAATGATAGGGTGAGAAATTGTGTAATAAGAGAAGATTGTGGTTTGCAAAATGATGTTGTGACCAGGATTAAGAAAGGAATGCTTCGGTGGTTTGGTCATGTGGAAAGAATGAATGAGGAAAGAGTGACAAAGAAAATTTATGTTGCAGAAGTGAATGGCAGAGTCGGAAAGGGACGTCCTAGGCGAAAATTTATCGACCAAATTGGCGATTTATTGAAAACGGGCCAAATTAGGAGTACCCTTAACCGACGAGCATGTATACGTAGGTGTATGGATGTGAAGGAGGCGAGAGAGGTGTGTCAGGATCATGCCAAATGGAAATCTGCAGTCTCTGCCTACTCCTCTGGGTGACAGGCGTGAGTGTTTATGTATTTTTATGTTTTATGATTTTTTTCACTAGAGATTCATCATCTTGATAATCTTCATAGCATACATGACTTCTATGACAAGTAGTCGCAATTTTGAAGCATTTATTGAAAAAAAGTTAAAAATAAATTAACGGAACGTATAATTTATTATACCACAATTACTTTTTTCTAAATTGTTCGATGTTTCTAGGATTCTATATTGCACGGTGATCTAAAATGTGTGTTTAGGGTAGCTTTATTTAAAAACTATGTTAAATTTTAATTGTGTATTCTGTAACTCTCTCAATGAATAACATTTTGTGATATAGGGTTTTGGCTTCTGGTTCGCCAGTGGATTGCTACTCTTGTATTATTGTTAAAATAAAAGTTTGCAAGGTGACGAATCAACGTACTAGGAGAATTTTTTTAAACAATATAATACTTGACTTTTCTTGATAATTTTTTAATACTTGACACTGGCAAAAGTACAACAGTACGAGTTCATTACTATAGAAAAAAAACCTTTGTGATGGGCAGATACCGAAGTGATTCCATAAACGTTCCGTTTTGTTAAATATAGCTCTATTGAAAATAAATAAATAGAAAAATGTGTGTTCTAATAAATGGTAAAAACTTTGTATTTCACATGCGTACTTTGTATGGCTTATATGGTACACGAAAAAGTTTTTTAATTCAATCGTGGTTAGATTCTATTTTGTATGTTTATGTAAATCATTGTATTCGTTTGGAAATCTACTAGTTGCTTTAACTACAATTTATAGGGTTGTTTACTTATTTATTGCGTGATTTAGAGTTCCTTGCTCTGAATTCAAATGTATTGAGTAACTACGAGTAGGTACATTCAATTTGTAACTAACCATATTACTGTCTTGAAAATAAACGCCTGTTTCTTTTTAAGACGGTATAGAATGGAATAGAATATAATCATTTTTATCTTTATATATAATTCTTCTGTCAGGACCAATTTTGATAGTTTTTTGTGTTTTAGTGGGTTCCTGGATGGTTTAGATTCACAATTGGAAGGCGGTGCTGTTGTCGCGACCCAGAACTCATCCATGTAAAGCCGGAGCGGATCGCTAGTATAGCGCCTAGTATAATTTCGCCTTTGCATCAATTATTTTGAGTGCAATAAAGAATGTTCTATTTATCTATCATAAGCCAAAGAAGATCTACTTACCAAAGCAGGCGAATCAAGAGGGCCAGCGGTTCTTGACCTTGTTTTTCTTCTGTCGTTCTCGATATCAGAAGGTCTTGATTGATGCTCACTATCCCGATCCGAGGAGTTGTAACGTCTCTTTTCTTCTTCGTGATTCTTATATCTTCTCTCCCCTATCAACGTCCTATCGTATCTGCGATACAATATACATCTTTATTTATAAATTAAGTTATGTAAATTTACAGTCGATATACACGTCACTCCTGGGCACAGGTCTCCTTTCATTTCTGATAGGAAGAATTGTGTACCACGCTACCTCAGAGTTTATTGGCGGACTTCATGTTTTTGAATTAAACACATTAACATGGCACAGGTATAATTTTAATAACATTGACTAACGAAAAAAAGTACTGGCCACTTTCAAGTGTTTCTAATATTAAATTGTTCATCATGTATTCCTGATTTATTCCCAATTGACTATACTATTAAATGTGTTGGCAGTAAAATTTTTGTTGAATTAGAGGGAGCCAATTTTGTACTCAGAGTAATTTGTTTTAGATATTTGATCAACTTGATAATTTGAAATTTTATTGCAATACAACGTTGACATTTAAATGGAGAAGAGATGTTAAGAGCAATGGGAATGCTGCAGGCTAGTGCTTATCAAGGTGACGTCGCTGCGGCTAAAGACACCAGGTAAAATATGATTTGGACGTTGTGGTCACGTTATCGTGCCAATGGGAAGGTGGCGGAGAGACCATTTATTGCAAATTACTGCGAAAAAGCAACTAAATGTTTTACGCAATTGATTTAAAGGCTACAGTCTGAACACTAGGTTCTTGTGAGTCACCAAACTGTGAGGAGGAGACTGCACGAAGTCAAGTTCCTGTGTCAGATTTGGAGATATGCTAAAGGAAATTTAGGAACCTCTAGCGTATCACATCGATCCATTCTATTCAATCAAAATAATATTCAATTGATAGTCCGTTTTTTATTCAGTTTTTTTATTGTTTACGTTCCCAAAAGTAGACAATGGCAGAAGTAATAAATTTCCCTTACGATGTTTTTTTTCAACACTGAACCGCGTTCTCCAAACATAGTATCATTACCTTTACAGCCCGTTAAAGTCCACTGGTGAACATAAGCATATTGGGGAGCCGTAGATTGCCCCTTAGGAAGGATATTTGCCATAGTGGTCTATGAATCTGTTTTCAAAAATTTAGGACGACGTATTAGTTGGCAGCAACATGGTTTTTTGTCTGGTAGATCTACTGTCACAAATCTTTTTTCATATGTCACTGATTTAATCGAGAACGTTGATGACAAACTACAAGTGGATGCCATATACACAGATTTCTCTAAGGCCTTTGACAAAGTAAATCACGCACTATTAGTCAATAAACTAAGAGACTTTGGTATAAATGGGACATTATTGAACTGGTGTGCATCATACCTTCAAAATAGACCCTCGACCGTAGTGATTGACGGGTACTCCTCGCAACCTTATATTGCCTACTCCGGTGTACCGCAAGGCTCTAACTTAGGTCCTGTATTTTTTAACATCTTTATAAACGACATTGTTTCGATATTTCAACACTCAAATGTCTATCTATTTGCTGATGATCTCAAGATAGTTAAAATCATTAAAAACAACTCTGACGTCGAACTATTGCAAGATGACCTCAATCGCCTTATACAATGGTGTAATAACAACCAAATGTTTCTCAATGGCAAAAAATGTCGACTTATTAGGTTTACCAGAAAACATAATTACATACAAAGTCAATACTATATTGATACTGAAAAACTGACTGCGGTTCGAGCGATACGTGATTTAGGCGTTATACTAGACAGCGAATTAAGATTTACCAACCATATCGATAGCATAATCACCTCAGCTACGAAAACACTGGGTTTTGTATTGAGGAATTCCAGAGAGTTCATGCAGCCCTCCACTACAATAAAACTTTTTAGTAGTCTGGTTAGAAGTAAACTAGAATACTGCAGTCAAATTTGGAATCCGCACTACAAGATCCATAGCATTAGAATTGAAAGAATACAAAAACGACTGCTACGTCATCTTGCGTACCGTTCGAATAGCTATCAAACTAATGATTCCTACGAAAGACGTTTGGCGCAATTTAACATCACATCATTACAATCACGTAGAATTATCTCAGATATGATATTCCTATATAAAACGCTCAATAATAGTGTCGATTGTCCAGCGATAGTTCAATTATTTAACTTTAAAGTGCCATCAAGACTGCCTAGGAAACCGCAAGCCTTTTTCGATGTGTCTCTTTATAGATCTAACCTGGGAAAGTATTCCCCTCTAGCCAAACTGGCTCGCACTTATAACGAACTGTCCTCAAAGATTTCTGGCCTCGATATTACTTGCGACAGTTTATCCACCTTCAAATCAAAATTAATAAATTTCTTTAAAAATAATGAATCAATTAATTAAGAAGTATAATATTGGAAGTATAATATTAGAATTGTTTTTGTTTTCTATAATGTGGTTAATGTAATTTAATATGATAATGAAGTTATCTATAATATTGTTAAATAATTCTATTTCTTTTTAATAACTTATTTATTCAATGATGTAGTCCAAGTTTTTTTTAATCCTATCATTCACTAAATAATCAATGCATGTTGTGATTACCTATAAAAAGAAATACAATTATAATGTGCTTAATATGTTATGAAAATGATCTTTGTATTACTATTGTAATTTCTGTTGGTAATCCTAATAAATAAATAAATAAATAAATAGTTGCCACGCTTAGTAAGCAGTTTGGTAACCGCATTGTTTTATTTTTAGTCGTTATTAGAAATATGCTGCTACCCATCTCCTGATTTTTTCCTCTGTTGTCTCTTATGACACCCATGGGATGTATGTAGTGGATGTTCTTACACTACTACCCGACCACTACCCGGTATCCAATAATATAGCTCACTAAATTCACCTTCCGCCATACTCCGGACTCTGTTGCTTTTTCTCACTGGTTTCGCGGGAATCGGAACTTCTGTACTTAGTCAAATCTTCTCTTGAAAGATTATATCTTCTTTCTCCATCTTTGGGATCGTAATCTCTCTTCTTGACTTCTATATCACTCGGTTCAGGATCAGTGTACCTATGAATATATTTATTGTATTGTATATCTACGTTTAAACTTATTATTAAAATAAATTTGAAACTAGCTGTCTGAACTTAGTTTTAGTTTTCTTTGCAGGCTAATGTTTGACTAAATGTTCATTTGCAATAAGTTTTTTCATGTTTAGCTGTATTAATTACATATTATACTAATTTTTGCGGTACCTTAACCTGTTGGCAACTGGCTATACTCATTTCAGCCATGAATAGGTCAAATATGCTAAAATAAGGTTAACCAATTAGTAGTAACACTTACTACTAATTGGTTAACCTTATTTTAGCATATTTGAGTTGATAGTTATATAGTTTATTAGAATACATTGAACAATTGAAAAAATGTAACTTCTTTTATTTTTCTTTAATTTTCATTTGTTTCTACACTGTCGGCCGATGGTTTACGATCGCACGAGCTTAGAAGTAACATATACGAAGTATAAATTAGAGTTATGTCTAGTATACACCCTATTCTAGAAAGTAAACAGATATCTGTTAGCTGCAATTAAACCTGCTGGACTATTGTTAATTAAAAATTGTGTATGGTATGGTATGTTATTTCGTAAAGATTGAAAGGAAAATATTTGATATAATTTACATCGATTTTATAAATTTAATTAGTTCGTTATTTAATTTTTTCCTGATAGCCTCTTCTTTGCCTATCATATACTAAGACTCTAGTTCATTACATAGTTCATTACTTCGGTGTAGCATATGACAGTCAAAGACGGAATATACATGATGTTTTACCCATTTTTTACATTATAATATTATTTCGACATTATATAGAATAAGGTAATTTATAGACTACGGGAATTCTCTTCTTTTCCTATTTAGATTTCTGCAGATACGGTCGAAAAAGCTATAAATCAAATATTTTTAAAGTTGTAACATTAAGGCGTTTGCATTAAAAATTACACCCCATAAAAATACCTTCTGTACTCAGAATCATCTCTGGCAAGATGTTCAGGGCTCTTGAGTACCCGGGTGCGAGTCTTTGGCTGGACTACCTCTTTCTCTTTCTTGCTCTTCTTAGAAGAGTCGCGAGAGAATAGCTGTTTCATCTGAAAACCGAAATGATTTATAAATTATTATTTCGTTAACATTTCTTAGGAATTTTGTTTAGATAAACTTCTTATAGCAAAATGCTAACTTACCTTTTCAAGTCCAGAAAGCTTCTTTGTAGCCTTTGGAGGTTTCGCACTGACTTTACCATCGCGTCTACTTGGACTTTTTTCATATCGGTTATGTTTTGGCTCAAAATGAGAACCGTCATCAGCACTCCTTTCCCTTGACGTGTATTCTTTTCTATCATCCTGCTTGAAGTCTTTAAATGTGGCTAGATATTCTCCGTTGGCGTAAATCTGCTCTGCTGGATAATTGTCCTCTGTGTGTCTCCTCTCACTTGCTAAAAATAGAGACGTATTGTGCATGTCGTCATCGCTTTCATGTCTCCTGTGTCTAGTTTTATGAATTTCTCCGCTGGAATCTTTTCTGAAATCGTTTTCGATTCCAGAATCAACTAGTCTGTTGTCAAAATCGAATCTTCGTGGTGATCGTTCTTCTCGATAATAATCTCGGCTATCACCAGAATCATGTCTTTGTATACCATAATCTTTTTTATAGTATTTGTCTTTGTTCTTCACGCGTCGTAAAGAGTTATGGTAGGACTCATTTTGCTTAGCATTGTACCGGAGATTTGCATAATCGTCTTCACGTTCGTGTGCTATTTCAGGATTGGAAGAATAATGTCCCTTTCTTTTGTTGGACCAATCTTCTTTTCCTTTGTATTTTTGACCAGTATGTAGAAGATCATGACTAGAAGTGAAGTTTTTTTTCACTTTGTACTTCTTCTCTGTATATTCATCTGGGGAAAGGATTGGTTTTCGAGGATCTGATTCTAGACTAGGTGGTTCGTATTCGGGCTCGGGGGGGAATACTTTCCTCTCTTCTTTATATCTTGGATCTGGGCTTAAATTATACGCATGTCTACCAACGTCTTTGTGAATCTTTTTAAAAATACGACTTTCTGTGTTGTATTTAACATTATGATTATCCGAATCATACTTATTAAAATCTTCAGTAACATTGCTTTCGACATAACCATCTCTTTCTAAAGTATGGCGGTAATAACGAGCGGTCTCATTTACGTATTTTTCCGTTGCTTTCATACGTTTTTCTGCTTCATATATGGGGTCATTTTCGACGATATATTTTGTAATAGGTTGTTCAATGTTTATTTTTCCACGATCTAATCGACGAGCGTTTAAACGTGATTCTAAAAGCTGACGTCGATGACTTAATTCATTAAAATCCAAGTCGATTTTCGTAAGTTCAGGTTCTGATTGTTTCTTTTTAGTATCCATACCGTCACCTCTGCCTCTAAAACTGTCGACATTGTTCTGCGTATCTTCATTCGTAGGATATTCGTTAGAATATGTAGGTTCAAAATAATCAAAGTTCATCAATTTATATTCTCTAAACCTAGGTTTTATAGGCGATTCTTTTATATTGTTGTGTTCTTCAAAACTATCAAAATTCTCAATTTCCTTGTTTTTATATTTATAATCATAACTACGATCAGTAGAATACTTGTATCTTTCTTCGTATCCCAGACCTTCGTCTTCGTCGGAATAATGTCCATGTTTTTCTCTTAATTGGGAATAAGTTTTTATATGACCAAGTTTATCTCTAGAATCTCTTCTAACTTGGGCATATACGATGCCTTCCTCCATTTTGTTAACAGGAGTTGGTGCTCTATCGGGACTTGTGTTTTTAATAAATAGGTTGGGGTCAGGACTTGCACTTGGCTTAGTGTATGAGAAAGGTTGATTAATATTACTTCCGTTAGGTGAAATTATCAAATGTGTTTTAGGTGACAGAGATTCTTGATCTTCTTTTAATATTTTAACAAGTTGATCAACTGTTTGTCCACGTGTTAATGGTGGTTTTTCTGGTGGTTGCTGACTACTATGTTTCATTTCCTTATCACTACATATGTTTAATTCGATATCCCTAATGCTATTTATAATTTTCTCCTTTGCTTCCTGCTGATTTGTTTCTTTAACTTTTGTTGAATCGATTTCATCAACTAAAACAGTTTTTTTAATATCTGTTTTGCGTTTAGGAGTATCTGCTATTGATGGTGAAGGTTCTTTTCCCCCCTCACTAGATTTTCCTCTCTTACTCCTTGATGGTGGCTTAGGGTCTTGTTTATCGGGCGTTTTATATCTCGGAGGTTTTTCTACTGGGTTGACCTTTTTACTATCTGTAAGAATTGGTTTTGGATCTTCGTTTTGGTTGTTCTTATTTTGTTTTAATCTCTCCCTTTGGAATACGTCTAACGGTGGTGTCTTTTTGAAATAATCTTCCCTTGGAGAGCTTTCGATAATGGGTGACAATTGTGACTTTTTATTTCTCAAAGATTTAAGAAATTCCTCAGTTTCACTGCCAGATCTTTTGCGTATAGGTTTGTTTTGTGGGTTCAAAGTTGTGTTTGACTTTAAATCTGAAACGTCACTTTTACTTCTTTTAATTATAACGATGGGTTTAGTGGTGACAACTACTGGTACATCCGGGCTTTTGTTTCTCTGTGCTCTTCTAAAGAGAGTTGAAAGAGACGTACGTTCCTTTCTTTTCCTAGCCGTTACATCACTAGTAGACCTTCCAAGAGGTGTCTTGAGAAACCCTTCTGGTGATCCAGCGTCGTCACTATTCCTTCTGCCAAGCCTATCTTCCTTAAATTTTCTTCTATTAGGTAAAGAGAAGAATTTTTCTGGGGGGTGATCAGCAGTACAAGTGACACTTTTTGCCTGTGCAAGTACTTTATTAGCTTCTTCAATTAATTCTTGTTCAGAGAGATGAGTGAAAGGTTCCTTTCGTATAGATGGTGACTGATGTTCAGATGAGGAACCCCGCTCTCGGGGTTTACCTGTAAAAAGAACGTAATTGTTGAGATTGTTTTTTCGTATAATTTAATAAAATATCATATTTTCTATTTAAAATTTTGTATAATTTTGGCTAGTTTACAAAAAAATGTCGACTTAACAATATATTATAATCTTTTATAATTTTTAAACCAAATAAAATTAAAATAAGTAAAATATTAAAAAGTATTATATACCGTTAGTTGCAGTAAAGATTTCTAGAGGAAAAATATTTTAGTCAGTTTCAGTCAAAAAGAAGTAAGAGAACAATTAGTGCGTTATAAATAGGAAATTAAATTAAGATAGGAGATTAAAGTAAGACTATATCTTCAACTACTATAACGTTGGTAAAATTTCGACAAGATTTTTAAATATCTCTAAAACTGAGAATTTCCTTGTACCTTAACTTTTTTTTGAACAGTGCTTCACAAAAACTTGCTTGTACGTAGATTATGTTTGAATAAAATGAAATATAATAACCAAAGTTGATAATGAAATAAAATAAAAAACTAACGTTCAGAAACGTAGCTTTACAAAAACTTTGTTTAATTAACTATAGAATCATTTGAAAATGCGTAGATTAGTAACACCTCGTAAGGGAAAATTAATCAGAATGTCAAAATATGTTTTTGTCGGACTTATGTCTTTGTGTATTGAAAATATTTACTTATAACGTTTTATTGAGCTTCGCCGGATTGGCAATGTCTTGCATATTACGCGAATTACATTTAGCTCAACTTACGATTGTATTACGTATTAGGTTGCCGTGAAGTAGCAGTTAAAGAGAATCCTTCTCCCCATTTTGTCCGTAGATCTCTTTGATTTAAATAGATGACTGTATAAGTACTCCGTACCTCAGAAATCATGTGAAGCCATTGTTCCTGCGCCTAATCTTTCTCAATCGGACTAAGAGAGTGAAGGAATAGAGAGTGCAACTGTGCTTGCGTATTCACTTGGGCACTATAATCCTGTCCTGCGAAGATGACTAGTCTCCGTTGAGACTGGCCGCCACGACCGAAGTTCAATGTGGAGGATATTAATGAATATCTGGACCGGCAAAGACTAGCAGCGACAAATGTGATAGAATCAGGGGTCTCCAAACTACGGCCCGCGGACCAAATTCGGCTCTCCAGTACCATCAATCCGGCCCGCGACAGCTTAAGACTAGTGTCATTAATTTGGCCCGCGACGACCAATGTAATTATTGTTACTGATGCTGTGATAAGTTGAAGAAGAAAATACAGAATAATAATTACTCGGTTTTATTTACTTGCAAGGTTAAACTGAACGACAGAAATGATGACGCATAAAACTTAAGTATCTCTAAACTTAAACACATTAATCACTAACAAATAATTGAAATGAATCTCACTAATCACAGTTAAACAAAAAACGCTAGTGAGATTTATGTAATTGTGATTTCCCAAATACAAATTATTGTAGTTATGGATCAATTTTACTTGTAATAATTACTAAAATAGATTTAAGATGCTCATCGGTTAATTTGATCTGTAAACATTCTTTGTGTAATAGTAGTGTTCTTTGTAAACATACTTCATCTTTGAAAACGTTTTCTCACACAAGTAAGTAGTACTAAAAACAGAAAACTACCCTACCAACCTAACAAAGCTGTCGCGGGCCGGATTAATGGCACTAGTGGGCCGTATTTGGCTCGTGGGCCGTAGTTTAGAGACACTTGGAGGCGATATGATAGTAACAATACCAGTCATCTAGCAGCAGAAGATTAAATCAAATCCGCTCTAAGGAGAACTAGCCCTAGAGGAAAGGCTCCGTCCAGGAGTGGAGTTATATGGAGTGACGAAGAAGATAAAGAATAAAAGTGATTTTGATAATTATTTTGTTTTACTCGTCAATTTAACAGCCGTAGCTTACTTTCGTGGAAAATAACTAACAATTTGTTTTACGTCTAATTGTGTTGCGATATCATTCTGACGTTGTGTTTTTGTTCGTTTAGTAGCTGGAATCTCAGTTGACGCTTGCGAGGGAAAATAATGAGTCTTTTCCGGTCGCTTCTTACCCACGAGCACAGACTAGTTTAGTGAAGTTCAAGATTACTGTCGCACTTAGAGAAGTGCCGCAACAAGTGCGTTACAGATCCGAATTAGTGAATTTAAACGATTATTTCAAATATAATAAGGCATAGACACAGTGAGCTTCTTGAGATCTTTTTACTTATGTATTTCTTTTAAAACTTGCAACTCGTCTCGGCTTCGTCTGGATTCTACAAATGTGGATTTATTTAGATTTAAGATAATTATAAAATGCCATACTATTTTGCGGTTTTTGAAAAAATATTTCCAACTCTTTTGGATTAAATATAACCTAGATCATTCTCGACATTGCTCTTTATTTGTTCGCAAAGTGTCACAATCAATTATGACATTCAAAAACTGTTTTCTAAAAAAAGCCTATTGAATAAAAATATTCTAACTTTTACATTAAATACTTCTAGTAATATTTTATACATAATTTATTAATATTCAACATTTTTTATTTAATAACTAGTAATTCGCCCCGGCAACGCTCGATAGGATCTATTAATATGCCGTTATTTAGATGAAAAATAATCAAAGAACATTTCTTTTATCAAATTTTCGTTTATGCAAAAAAATCTAAATGTTTTCGTATAAAATAGAGTAGACAGATCCTTCCTGGAATTGCTCTGTGTCTGTTCGTAAAGTATCATCACGATCGGTGCAGAAGGTCCCGAAAGGCTTGGATAGACAAAAATTAAATAACCTGAGCTTAATAGAAGTCATTACTCATATTTGTTAAAAATAAAGATATTCATTATTATTTATTAAGCTTTGCTGCGTAGTAGAGCCACGCGGCTGCTAAATTATGCTTGTAGCAAGGTTGAGTTAGCTCAATTTGTAAAGTATCACGGTCTCGCATAATAGCAGCATTAAACAGCAGCTCAATGCTACTGTGTTTCGTATGGTGAGTGTAGAAAACCAGAGACCATTTTTACTGGAGACGAGGCATTCCTTTCCTCTCAATTTTTTTTCTAACGCTGAGTGTGATTCGGCCGCCCAGGTATCCGCTAAACCAAAAGTGACGTTAAACCAAAAGAGTCGATAGTAATTATAATGTAATAATTTAAATAATTTTGACCAAAGTTTGATTTGTACGTAATCGATTATTTATAACAACACAAAAAATAAAGTTCGGGAAGCATAAATTCAATCATCCTTTATGTGTCTTTTTATTGCTTAGGATATTTTAATGAGTTATAGTATTGTTTACTAATCAAGTATGAAATTGGAAATCTTAAACGGCGTGGTAATATTCAATCAAGTTTGTTATTGTACCTATACGGTTTATATCATATGATATTTTACATTCCAAGTTCGTAAGTAAAAAGTAAATTGAAGTTACTTACTACTATTTTTTTTTACGGATTTTATTTAATTCAATTTGATTTTAAGTTTACCAATTGTATGTAATAAAATTGATTGTATTTCATTTAATTAACTTTAGCCAAATTCGTAACAATTGTTTTTTTTTTCCTTTTATTTAAGAATAAGGTTACAAACGAGCACACAGTTTAACAGATAGTAAATAGATGCCCTTTGACATCTACGTCTATTCTCGATTACGAATAAAATACAGATGCGTTGTCGTCCCTAAACTAAGATGGAATGCCTCTTTCCAGTAAAAGGGTCTTCTGTTCTCTAGTTACACACAGTTTAATAAGGTGATTATTAAACACAGCAACATTTACGCTGGTATTCTGTGAGAGCACTAACCTGCAGCATCTAGTATGCATGTTAGTTTCCCAGCTTCAATTCAAAAGACAATAACTCAATCCATAGTTTAAAAATGTTTGTCACGATAAGTTATACGATAAGCATTATAACTGGAAATGAGGCATTCCGTCTTAGTCCATAAGGGTGACAACGCATCGACATTTTTATTCTTAATTGATTAAATATGTGCACTATTCACTTACCATCAGGTGGGTTGTGTGCTCGTTTGTCACCATTATTTTATAAAAAAACAGAGTAAGTTGAAAACAAAAAAGACTAAGTGAAATCTACAATAGCATATATTCATCCAAATTTTAGGTGCACTCACTGGAAAGGAAGAGGTACACGGGAGTCAACATACCAGGTATCCTGAACGTTAGCTTTACCATGTAAATTTGCAACTATGTACATTTTGCATTCTATGTTTCCCTGACCTTGCTGACTATTCGGTAAGCTAGCAATATAAATAGTCGCAAAGCCCGGTTTCCTAGTAAAGGCCCTTTATATTTCAGACAGATAGATTAATATTGAATTTTAATTAATTTAATTTTGCTTGATAAAGGAAGAAACGTTAAATATTTTTTTTGTAAATCCCAAAACTGAGTGAATCCGTAACACAGAATATTTTGCAAGTCAGCAATACGACCATAATACAGGCCTCTTTCAATTTATTTTTGCTAAATACATAAAGTAAGAAAAGTTTTTTTAGAAGAATGTCGATCGTCGCCAATGCAAAACTGCGAAACCAAGGGATATTGCAGGTACATTTCAGGTCCGGAAAAATCGCCGATGGTAAACAAGGTAAAGAATATTTATTGTCTAAATAGAAGGGTTATAGCATCACATGAGTGTTTATAACAAATTCCGTGAAACCGTAAGATGTCGCTAGCGGGCAACGCGGCACTTTAATTCCATCACCTTTATTTTTAGCATCGTATTTCAACGAAAACGTTTTTTGATTCGTTTCTTTTTTCGTTTATTTTCATCGGGATGTTTTTTAAGGTTTCGTTGAGAATTATTGCCTTTTATAAATTAAATATAGCGACTCGTTAAGTTCGGAAATTAAAATCGTTTAATGTTTTTTTCTTATTTCGTGGCTGTGTTTGGTTTAGAATTAGGGTGTATGAGTATGTAATAAATGTTGCAAGTGACCGCCGCTGTTCATGAACAACCACAACACCAGGGGAATGCAGGTGCAGTGGCGGCCTTTTAAAATGGAGTAAGCTCTTTTCTTG